TATGAATGTGCGAAGGGTTATAACCCAAAAAAAATTTATGAGTCTAGCAAGGACAAGTAAATACAACGTTAAAATAAATGAAATGTAAGTTTTCACTTGATGTATGAGAAAGTATAAGTTAAGTAAGAGGAATCGGAATGGATGTACAATAAAGTAGAGGTAAAGGTTTGAGGTTTAGATGTAATGTCATAGAATACTAGTGGTGTTAGACTTGAATATAATGGTCAATTCTACGTACCCAATAATATTAGTAAAAATAAGTCTATATAATAATTATGAGTGAGCTTACGATGAGAAAGATTCAAATATGGGTTAGGATGATTTTAGAAGACTGGTAGGAGATTTTGGCAAGTGTATCAGTCATAAAAGTAGTTAATGATGGATAAATATTGTTTTCCAAGGAATTTGTGTAATATACATTAATAAACACATCTAATAACTAATTTAGACTAAAAAAAATTCCTTTATATAATATTGATTGATAAAAGAAGTAAAAATCATGTAAAAGAAATATAAAGTTCTTTTTTTAATATTTTTGCAAATACTTAAAAAATGATTTAGAAAAAGAATGAAATAGTATGTTAATGTTGGGATTAAATTTCACCCAACCTCACTATTATGCATTAAAACACTCAAATCTTCTTTACATTTAATGTTAATATTAATATCAATCTACTAGTTTACTCAAACTCTAATAAAGAACTTAAGTTCTCTTATTAAGTATCAATCCCTTAAATACTTAATAAACAAACTTTCATTAACTAAAATGATTTAAGATAACTAATAATGAGACTAGTTCTATTCCTAGATACAAGTTCCATTAGGTATTTTGTTTTGGTTCTAGATTACAAAAAATATTTTCTAACACCTAATGAATCAAATATCAACTTATGATTGATCAATCCACAACAAACATCAAGATTAGAAATAATAAAAATATTGAAATGAAAAGAGACACACACATATAATCAATACACGTTACATGAGAGTTTGGTTGATTAAATATAACCTCGACAATGATGAAATTAGCTCTTCATTGCCATAATTAAAGAACACAATGAAAAAAAAACAAATGGAGTCATGAAAGATGAAGAGCTAAGGAGGAGCTTAAAGGTGATGGAGGGAACCCCATCAACCACTCGATAAGTCCCAACTTGTCCAAAGTGTCAAAGATGGAAAGATGATTCTTAACCCCTCAAAGAGAGAGGGATAAAATGTCACATAATTAAAATGATGTCCTATGCAATCTAACCCATGTCGGTCGCAAGCACACGAGAAAGAGAAGAAGCCCCTCTACCAAGGTCACATTAGACATGGACAAAGATGCTGACATCCAACGTAGATAAATATACGTTCCTTGTCTAGTTGGTGTTGGGTGTGGGTAAGATGGCACCCAACGCTAACCAGTCTTCATAAAGACATTCTTTAATTCTTCTTTCTTCACTTTCTCTTGCTCGGCATTCTTCAAATCTTCTTCCTAAAAATATGTTAGCCAATAATAAAAATTAGTGGTATAATTAAATAATGGTATAATCATGTTCTAATTAATTACAAAGAATTATTGAAATGATGACTTAACTAGTTAAAATTTAAAGAAAAATTGATATTATTAATGTAAAATGAACAATAATTATAAGTATAAATTAACATTATCAAATACCAGAATAAAACTATGATAATTAAGAAAAATGATCACTAAGATAGAAGAGACAACCCAATCCTTAAAGAACTCACTAAGACTTATGTCTCGTTTCTTTAAGTTTTCATGTTTTCTAGGACAAATTGGTAAATTTCCTTTGTGGTGGAGTTTGAAGCCACTTGCAAGAGAGGAAGTTTGAGTTTTAGGCCTCCCAACATATGAAAGTTTGTCTTAGGTAGTAAAGTTTAGTTTAATACCAATATGTTGTAATCGTTAAGTTTAATATTTTAACTTGTTTATGAGTTTCTCCATGTATGAATTATATATGTTTTCTGCATGAACAATAATACTTTTATATTCAAAGTTTTCATGTCCAAGAAATCCAGGTGTAGTTTAGTAATACCCTCTAGCCTTTAGGGTGTCACACTACCATTCACTTGACTAATAGTAATAATATCATGTGTTCTTCCTCTATATTTTTTCTGGTATTCACTCGTGCTATCGTTTGTTTTACAACTATTGTCTTGCTTTATGTTTTAATTTTTCCGCTCCTCGTTTTTATATTTGTTTTATAACTTGTAAAGGTCATTGTGTTATTAAATAAGTTGTATTTTTACAATTTAATTTTATTTTTTATGGACTACTCGAGCATAAAACTATAGATTTTGAACTTAACCTGATATATTAGCCTAACCAACTCTTAAATAATTAAGATTGAGTTGAACTTTAAAAAGCGTGACTCAAATAGCTCCAGATTGGCTGAAGCATCGACAACAAAAAGTGTAGTGCAAAAGCACCCACCTTGTTGCCGTCAAGGTTATTGCTAGACATTTTCAGCACAAGTTCAAGCGCCATGTTGGTGGTTTCAACCCACAAGTCCAAGTTTTCATTTGACAATCCACAAAGAAACCAGAATACCAACGACACACAATCAAGACCTGTATCATTGTTTTTTGGTTTATTGTGTAAAACTAAATGAATTTCAATTTGTATATTCTTAAGTTTTTTGTGTAAAAATTACCATCGAGTTAAATAGAATAAATTGAAAGATGAAAAAGAGTTAAATAGCCAAATTTGAAATATGAAAACTGAGATGAGATGAATACTTTGTTTTGCTTTTGGAAGGGGCAAGTATTATTATCACTAAGATGAAATCTGAAAGATTAATAGCAAAATTTGAAAGAAGGAGTTCGCATGTTAAAATCGGTTAAAAAAACTAATTTTAAAAATTAAAAATTAAAAATAAATTTATTTGAAATTTAAAAGATGGAAAATATATTTAAAAAAAATCAATTATAACCGAGGAATATTGAAATAGAGAGTGAATCCAATGATTGGGACTATTCACCTCCCTCACATGAGTCCAAATCCAAACCCAGGACGTCCTGTGTCAAGTAGCACCTTCATCTTAACCAAAGCGAAACACACACGTTAACAAAATGTACACTAAGTGATGACGAGGATTGGATAAGAATCGAGTAAATGCCACCATGGATTTTTTGTTTTACTTTTCCTTACTCCTCTAACTCACTTGGACCATTTCGCCCCTACCTTACCTCATTTCGTGCGCGCCTCTTTTAACGGTCCCATCTTGGTTGCACTTTGCACAAACCAACCAACCCAATACTACACTAACCACTTCTCAAGGACTTGTTACTTTCCAATTCTATCTTTCGTATGAAGATTCAGAATCGTTGCTCATAACGCATAGCCAATGAAAATAAAGTGAAAAAATCGTCGCTGTTAATGGAAAATGACTGGTGAACAATTTTTTTTTGTGTACAAGGAAAATGGCAGACGTATGGTTGCGCCTTTGCCTCCCCATTTTCCTTTCTGTGTATGTGTAGTACTTGTTGCTTCACTGGTCCATTTACTTGACTTGAAACCGTGCTATATCTGAAAAAATATCTTGCACTTTATTCTTAATAATTCATGCACTCACATAAAGATCGTGTTGGACTCTCTTCCATTTCCATATTCATAATTTTCTTTTCCGAGTATTGTACTAAGATTAAAGAAATTAATGTTTTTTTGTAATGTTGAGAAAAATATCGGCCACAGACTCAAATATCTTTTCATAACTGGAGATTATTTTTAGTGTTGGAGATTGTGGACGCACAGCGCAAATTTTTTACCTCAATATGATTTATTAACTTATACTCAAAGTTAAGATTGAAATTTAATTTAATTAAAAAATGTAAATTATTATTATTATGTCAATTAATATTGGTAAAAATTGTCTATAATTGATCTATTAAAAAATGTGTTTTCTTATTTATTTGGATAATGAAAGGGTTTATCCTTAAGTTGAGTGATGATTCCAACACCATAGTATAGTGCCTTGTTTTAGTCTCTAGTTTTCATAGTATTTAAAGACTCCCAACGCCGTCAAATACAATTTGATTTGGATAACTAATACGTCGACCCGAGAGCTTGACAATGATTAGAATCAGATGATTGGCCCAAATTTTGGAAGGCACGCTTCAAATCTTGTTAAATTATGGATAAAATATATTTTTAGTTTTTAAAATATTTTGGAATGTTAGTTTGAATCCTCATTAAAAGAAATTAGAGGAAATATTTTTAAGAGACTAGCATTTTAGTCTATTCAATATATATGTTAATTATATATAATTAAAATTTATAATAAATTAATTATATATAATATTATATTTAAAGTTTAGTATACATAAATATTTTGAAAATATAAATTATATTTTAGATTTATGATAAATAATTTTTATTAAAACAAAAGAATATTTTATACATTGATAATTTATTTTAAATTATTTATATTTAATTCATAACTAATTATAATAAATAAAAATTAAATTAGATAAAAAGTTAAAATTTTCTAAAAATCCACTTATTAAAAAAAATCTTAAAAATAGTTTTACATATAAATTTTTTATTTAACATATAATAGTTGATATAAATTTTACATGACTTTCTTTAAAAAAAAAACCAATTTCTTCCATCATCATATTTGAGTGTATGACATCTAAATTTATCGTTTAAGTTCTATTAACTTTTGTTACAAAAATATTACTGTCAAGATATTTTTAACATTACCATTTCAGAATCGTAAGTATTATACCATGCCAACTTTTTGTATAAAATAATATTTCCTCTTTAACTGAATGCAAAAAGATGCTACGGTTAACATTTTACCTATTGATTTATATATTTTAATATGGTATTTTTATAAATATTTAGATAAGGTTGTATTTTCTGGTAAAATATTAATTATTATATTTATTAAAATGTGTATATTAAACATAGAATATTTGAAATGAATATATATATTAGTTATTTATTAAAGAAGAAAAAG